AAAAATGCATGGGTCAAAGAACAAATCATAGAAACAATAATTTCACTGCAGATAATGACAATGAGACAATATATCAACATTTGTGGGATACAATCAAAACAATACTAGGGGGAAATTTTCTCCCTAAATGCTTACATCAATAAAAGACAGAAAGAACAGATAAATAAATTGGGCACGCAACTAAAAAAAAATTTTAAAAAGAACAAATTAAAAATCACCAATTAAACACCAAAGTGGAAATACTAAAAATCAAAGGATTAAGAAAATAAAGTAAGAAGACATCGAAATAATAAATAAAAGAACTGTTTTTGTGGGGGAGGAACTAAAATACATAAACCACTGGTTGATTTGATTTTTAAAAAGACAAAGGAAAACTAAATTACTAGTATCAAAAATAAAAGAGTGAACGTACCACCACCGATGAAGAAATTAAAGAAATTAGTAGGAGCCATTTTGCCCAATTATATGCCAGTAAAACTGACGATCTAAGTCAAACAGATGAATATTTACAAAAATATAAATTGCCCAGATTAACAGAAATAGAATACTTAAATAACCCTATCTTGGAAAAAAATTTAAACAAGCCATCAATGAGCTCCCTAAGATAAAATTCCTAGGACCAGAAGGATTTATAAGAGCACTCTACCAAATATTTAAAGAATAATTAACTCCAATACTATATAAATTATCTGTAAAAAAAAAAACACCCTAATTTCTTCTATTACACAAAGGTGGTTTTGATACCTAAACCAGAACAGCAAAAACTGAGAAAGAAAATTATAGACTGGATATCAATGCAAACATCTTAAATAAACTACCAGCAAGGAACTTACAGCAATATAACACAAAGATCATACATTATGACCAGGTGGGGTTTATACCAAGAATAAAAGGCTGGTTCAATATTAGGAAAACTATAAGCATAACTGGCCATATCAATAACAAAAACAACAAAAATCAACACAATTATATCAATACATATTGAAAAATTTTTGACAAAATACAAAACCCATTCCTACTAAAAACATTAGAAAGAACAGGAATAAATGGAGCTATTCTTAAAATGATGAGCAGTATCTCTCTAAAGCTAAGAGCAAACATTATCTACAACACAGATAAACTGGAAGCCTTCCCAATAAAATAATATCGGGGTGAAGGTAGGATGTCCATTATCACCATTATTCAATATTGTATTAGAAATACTAATTTTATCAGTAAGACAAGAAAAACAAATGGAAGTAATAAGAATAGGTCATGAGGAAACAAAACTATCACAATTTGCAGTTGATATGATGGTATACTTAGAGAATCAACTGAAAAAAACTAGTTGAAACAATAAACAACTTTAGCACAATTTCAGGATATAAAATAAACCCACATAAATCATCAGCATTTCTATTACAAACAAAACTCAGCAAGAAGAAATAGAAAAAGAAATTCCATTTAAAATAACTGTAGACAATATAAAATACTTGGAGGTTCATCTGCCAAGACAAACCCAGTAACTATATGAGCACAAGTGTGGAATACTTTTCACAAAAATACAGATCTAAACAACTGGGAAAATGTCAAGTGCTCATGGGTAGGTAGGCCAAACCAATATAATCAAAGTGACAATTCTACATAATTAATTTACTTATTCAGTGCCATACTAATCAAACTACCAAAGAATTATTTTATAGAGCTAGAAAAAAAAATTTCATCTGGAAGAACAAATGGCCAAGAATATCATGAAAACTGATGAAAAAAAATGTGAAGGAAGGTGGCCTAGCAGTACCAGATGTCAAACTATATTCAAACAAAGAGGTAATCATCAAAACAATCTGATACTGGCTAAGATATAGAGTGGTGGGTCAGTGAAATAGATTAGGTACACAATACACAGTAATAAATGACCATGTTAATCTAGTGTTTGGTAAACCCAAAAATCTAAGAACTCACTATTTGACAAAAACTACTTACTGGAAAAACTGGAAAATGGTATGGCAGAAACTAGGCAGAGACAAATATCTCATACCATATACCAATATAGTGTCAAAATGAGTATGTGATTTAGGCATATAAGGCAATATCATAAGCAAATTAGGGGAGCATGGACTGGTTTACCTATCAGATCTTGGGATACAGGAAGAGTTTGTGACAAAACAAGAGATAGAGAGGATCACAGGAGATAAAGTGGATCATTTTTATTACATGAAATTAAAGTTTTTGCATAAACTAAACCAATGCAGCCAAAATTAGAAGGAAAGTAGGAAACTGAGAAAGAATTTTTACAGCAAGTTTGTCTGATAAAGACTTCATTTCTTAAATATATATAGAACTGAGTTAAATTTATAAAAATAAGAGTAATTACCCAGTTGATAAATAATCAAAGGATATGAAAAGGCAGTTTTCAGCAGAAGAAATCAAAACTATTAATAATCATATAAAATATTCTAAATCACTATGATTAGAAACATGCAAATTAGAACAGCTCTGAGGTTACTCCCTCCCACCTATCAGATTGGCTAACACGACAGAAGAGGAAAATTACAAATGCTGGAGAAGAGGTGGAAATACTGGAACACTAATGCACTGTTGGTGGAGTTGTGAACAGGCCCAACCATTCTAGAGAACAATTTGGAACTACGCCCAAAGGGCTATAAAACTGTGCGTACCCTTTCACCCAGTAATAACACTATATGTCTGAATCCCAAAGAGATCAAAGAAAAGGGAAAAGAGCCTAGCTGTATAAAAATATTTATAGCAGCTCTTTTTGTAGTACCAAAACTGGAAATTGAGGGGATGGCCACCAATTGGGAAATGGCTCAACAAGCTGTGGTATATGATTGTAATGAAATATGATTGTGGTATATGGTTTCAGAAAAACCTGGGAAGACTTATATGAACTGATGCAAAGTGAAGTTAGCAGAACCATGAGACTATAGTACACAGTAACAGTAATATTGTAAGGATAATCAACTGTGAAAGATTTAGCTATTCTGATCAAGACATGATACAAGATGATTCCAAAAGATTCATAATGAAAAATACTATCCATCTCCAGAGACAGAGAACTGATGAGTGCAGATCGAAGCAAATTGTTTTTCACTTTATTATTTTTTTGCAATATGGCTAATATAGAATTGTGTTTTATGTGACTTTACATGTATCATATTCCTTGCCTTCTCAGTGCATGGGGAGAAGGAGAAGGAATGGAGAGAATTTGGAACTCAAAAATTTTAAAGAATATTAAAAAATTAAATGAAAAAATTGAGTCTAATAAAAAAAAAAAGAAAGATGAGTTCAAAGAATCCAGGGTAGCGTGAATGGAGGTAGTGAAATGAGCAAACCCTGAAGAACAATTTTGCAATAACAATATTATAAAGAAAAACAATTCTGAAAGAACTCTGATCAAAGCAATAACCAACCATGTCTCTATAAGACCAAGGATGAAAACTATTACTCAACTCCTAACAGAAATGATAGACTCAAAACACCTTTTTAAACACACCAAAGTGTCAATTAACAAGCATTTATTAAGCACTCGATAGGTGCCAGGCACTATGCTAAATGCTAGGGATACAAAGAAAGGCAAAAACACAGTCTCTGCTCTGAAGGAGCTCACATTCTAACTGCAGAAGCTACACAAACAATTTTGTACATACAATATATACCGAGTAGATGAGGACAATCTTAAGGGGAAGGAACCAGAGGTAGCAGTAGCTGGGAAGACTTTTGAAGAACGTGAGATTTCAGCTAAGTCTTGAAAGAAGAAAGGGAAACCAGAAGGTAGAGATGAGAAAGGAGAACATTCCAGGCAGGGGGGGCAGCCAGTGAAAAGGGTGAGACAAAATACAGCCTTGTGCTGAAGGAACAGCAATAAGCCTAGGGTAGCTGGATGAGAGATAACGGAGGGAGTCCAGTGTGAGAAGACTGGAAAGATAGGTCAAGACAAGGTTGTGAAGGGCTTTAAATGACAAACAGGAAAGCCTGTATTTGATGTGACAGGCAAAAAGGGGCCACTGGACTTTACTGAGTTGGGAACACAATATGGTCAGTCTTGTGTTTGAGGAAAAGTCATCTTTGGCAGCTGAACAGATGGTAGGTTGTAGAGGAGAGAGAAGAACTTGAGGCAGGGGTCCAAACAGAGGACTGCTTAAATAGAACAGGCATGAGGCTCTAAGAGTGTACCAAAGTAGGGGCGGTGTGACAAAAGGGTACAAGTGATGTGAAGGTAGAAACAACACCTGGCTTACAGACTGGGTATGTTCAGGGAGGGAGAGATAATGATATTAATGATAATAGCTAGCATTTATATATTTATTATGTACATTTATATTTCTAAATTTATATAAATGTATTAAATACAATTTATGTAGTGTTTATTAAACTTAGATTCATCTTCATTACAGGTTTAACAAATATTTATATATTTAATAGCATATTCATAAGTAGTTATGTGAATGTATTTATATTAACAGGTATGTTTATGTTAATATATTAATATAAATATTTTAATGTATTTAATAAACACATTTATATGCACTAGGTGGTTCAGTGGACAGAACGCTGGCTGTGGAGTTAGGAGGACCCATCTTCCCGAGTTCAAGTCTGGCCACAGACACTTCTTAGCTATGTGACCCTGGGCAAGTCACTGAACCCTGTTTGCCTCAGTTTCCTCATCTGTAAAATGAGCTGCAAACCAGCATCTTTGCCAAGAAAACCCCACACGGGGTTACGGGGACTCAGACACCACTTAAACGGCTGAATAACATACGTTTATGCGAATATATATTTAATAAATATATTATTCTATATTTATATTTTAAGGTCATATTTTATCCTCACAACCCTGAGAAACAGATGTAAACAGCACTACTTAACAGGTGAGGAAACCCAAGTTAAGTGACTCGCTTCCGATCACGGAACCCTTTCCCAAATTCATTGGGTCTGGCTGGACCGCTCCCGCCCTTTGGCTCGCCCCTCCCCCACGGGCCGCCCCGCCCCCAGCCCCTCACCTTCCAGGAGGCCGAGGGGTTCGAGCTCGCCCGCGCCTCAGCAGCCGCCCCAAAGCGGTCAGTGCCCGCGGGCACGAAGCGGCCGTAGCGCTTCAGGGCCCACTGCTCGGAAGCGCAGGGTGGAACCTTCGCCTCCCCCGCCATGGCCGCCGCCGCGCCTCGTCTTGGCTGAGGAGCTCCAGCGATGAGCCCCGGGCGGCCCCGCGGCTAGCCAATCCCAGAGCGAGCTCTTCCTGGCACCGCCTCCGGACTGACGGCGGCCAATGAAAGGCCGCATCCTGGACACGCGCCTCCTGGCCCGGGGAAAGCGAGCACGTGGCCGACCACGTGGCTTCCGGGGTCCGCAGGCGGTCCCTCCAAGCGCCTCCCATGTGCCTGGCTGCGTGGGAGCGCAGGGGGTGCGAAAAGGCCAAGACGGCGCCCGCCCTGAAGGCGGACGCAGTCTAGCTGGAGAGACAGCCCTCCAGGCACCACGTACAAACATGCTCCACAGGCTAGAGAGGAACTATTGAGAGGGAAGGCCCTAGAGCCGAAGGGCATTGGGGAGGGCTTCCCGGAGAAGGTGGGGGTTTAGGTGGGACCTGAAGGAAGTCTGGAGGTGGACGTGAGGGGGAGCATTCCACGTGTGGACCACAGCCAATGCTTGGGGTGTCCTCTACCAGATTAAAGATTATATTGTGGAGAGTAAGGCGGGAACAGATTGGAAGGGGAGGGCGGGTAAGTAAGGAAGAGCTCTGAACTCCAAAGAGGAGTTTATAGTTGATCCTGGAGGTGATAGGGAGCCATGGAAGTTTACTGAGGGAGTAGGGTGACTTGGATTGCTCTAGTGCTCCTTTACCATATGCCCAGAAAGATCTAAGAAACCTTGCTTTAGGGGCAGGGCCTATTCCCCGATTCCATCAATCAATCAGAGGAACAAAGGGACATTAGAATCGGGAAGGGCCTCTGAGGGACGCTTTATTTATTTATTTTATGTGTGGAGCTTAAGCTTCAACATTTATTAAGGGTAAACTATGTGAATATGGAAAAATTAAATAAGATACCACACTCAACAGGAGCTTACAATCTAGTAGGGGGTGACAGTTACAAAAATAACTGGGATAGTAATGCCCATTTCCTTAATGGGTGTTAATATAAACGTATAATTCTCATATTACTCACTTTCACAAATTCCACACGAACTGTACAAATACATCCTGCCTGTCCCTTGCCTTCCCTCTATCCTTTTCTCTTGTCAAAGTATTAGGCTTCCTTGAAAGCTCATATTAAATATCACCCCCTCCTTTCAATGTAGTTCGTAGGCTCATAGAGAGTTCATCAGCTTGGTCGATAATCGGGCAAACTGACTAGATCTAACACCGTTGTTAGAGCTAGGAAGCTACAAATCTTTGACCTAGTGATCTGCTTGGTCAACCTCCCAAAGAATTATTGAAGGGAGAGTGGGATGCAAGAATATTAACCAGTGACTTTATTTGTAGTAACAAAATACTGGAAATAAACTAAATGTACCAAATATTGCTGAATTGTTAAATAAAATATCTTAATGGAATATTATCACATTGTAGAAATGATAAACATGGAAAGATGGAAAAATTTCCATGAAGTACACTGAACAAAAAGCAGAATCCAGGCATGCACGCTGCAATTTTAACTTAAAAGAATGTCAAATATATTTTGTACACAAATGGAAAAGCCATAAAAATAATGGAATGCGGAGTAACAAGAGTTCATGTATTTTTTTCAAGTTAAACCCTTATTGAGCACCAACAGTGTGCAAAAACAAAAAATGAAATAATTCCTTCCCTTAAGAAGCCTTCATCTATATCTATTTCCACACATAGACAAAGTTGATATGAATGTACTAAGTAGTTCATACAAACAGAGCACGGAGACAGAATAGTACAGTGGGTAGAGGGTGGATCTTGGCATCAGTAATATCTGTCTTCAAGTCATTCCTCTGGCACATCCTGGCTGTAGGACCCTGAGCAAATCACTTTACTTCTCAGTACTCCAGGTAACATTCTAAAATCATAATTAATGTAGTAGTTGCCATTCTGTATCAGTGGAGGGAGGTCCCACGCCAGGAATTCCTCACACTGCATGAATCATAAGTCTAGACTGAAAAACAGAAATAAACATCCAAACTCTTGTTAACGCTTATGGAGGGGGAAACAGAGAGGTTAATGGAGTGACTTGCTTCGGGCAGCAACAATTGAATATATGAGCCTTAGATCTTCCTGGCTCCCAGTTCAATACGGTGGTCACTATTACACCTAGATGCCTTTATGATTAAATAAGATGGAGGAGGAATGGTTAAAAGAACCAGGAGTTTACACTGTCACCTTCACCTTTCCTGACTCCCCTTCATGCCTTCCCTCTGAGCCTACCTCCAGTTGATCCACTATATGTCTTGTTTGTATGAATTTGTTCACATATTGTCTCCTCCATTTAGGACAGTGCCTGGCACACAGTGGTGCCTAATAAATACTTACTGATTGACTGAAGCCAAAGGTGGAGAAAGGAGTATCCAGAAGGCTAGAGTGGTCAAGGGTGTGAACAACTGCCTCCAGGCTAATGAACTTGAGATAGGAACAAAGACCTTTGATTTCGTTGTAAGAAGATATTGTTGACCTTTGGTAAAGGTTTCAGCAGAGTGGTAGGGACATAAGGACAGGAGCCTGATTACAAGAGGTAGAAGAGAGAGTCTCAGGGGAATAGAAGTATCAGCTATAGATGACTTTTTCAGTAAGGGAAGGAGAAAAGAGAGGAGAGACAGTAACTTTGGTTGGAAGAGTTAAAGGGAGGCTATTTTTAGTATAATAATTATTATCATAGGTAGCATTTCTAGAGTATTTTAAGATTTACTAAGTGCTTTACAAACATTGTCTTATTTGATCCTCACAATAATCCCAGGAGATAGGTGCTATTATTATTCCCATTTTACACATGAGGAAACTGAGGCTGAGAAAGGTTAGGTGTGTGTGAGAGACAGAGACAGAGAAAAGAAAGGAGGAGATGGAGGGAGGGGAGAGAGAGGGAAGGGAAGAGAGGCAGGAGAGAGGAAAGGGAGAGGGAAAGAGAGAGAAGAGAGAGAAGAAAGAGGGAAAGGGGAAAGAAGGAAGGGAGCAAAGAGGGGGAAAGAAAGGGGGAGAGGAGGGGGGGTCTTGAAAAATTAGAAACAGTTGCTGTTCTTCAGGTGTTTACAATTTGAGCTCTAAGCACTGCACTCAGAACTCAGGATTAAAGGAGAGGACAGAAGCAACTTCGAACAAATATATTAATTAAACCAATAATAATACTTGAGAAATATGTACAGGCCAAGAAAAGTGTATGGTGTCAGGTGGAAAAAACAGATGCAGATTATTCATTCGTTAAACAAACACCAAGAGACTACTGTGTATTAGGTCATGTGTTGAGAGGCAGCAGAGTCTCTTGACCTTGAGCATTCTTAGACTTTTAGTCATGAAGATCTGGATTCAAATCCTGCCTCTGATACATTATAGCTGTAAAGTCATAGGTAAGTCATTTGAGCACTTGACCCTCATCTTTTTTTTAAACTTTTATCTATTTTAAATTTAAATACAAAATAACAAAAGGAAAAAAAAGCATTGCCGTATATACAGCAGAACATAAGGGAAGATTCAATATAAAGCAATAAACTTCCATTTCAAGAAAACCTATATAGTAAACACTACACATTGTTTTCAAAGCTACCCAGCTTTTCTTTGCTTCCTTTTTGGTTTTCTTTTGTTCTCACTGTGCATTTTTTATTTTTTATTCCCTCCCTCAACCCCCCCCCCCAGAAGGCTACAATTAAGCCTGGATACATATGCATATAGATATCTATAAATATATACATATATATACACACATTCACTTACACACATATATGTAAGATTGTACTATGCTTATTTCCACCTGTCCTGTTTCTCTGAAGGTCAATAGCATCTTCCTTCATAAGTCCAAATCTTTCCAAGTTTTCCTAAATCAAACAGCTTCTCATTTCCTATACCACAGGAATATTCCAACCCAATCACATCCTATCTGAGAGACTGTCTATGAAAGTTTTTTTCCCAATTTTCAACATTCCTTCGGTTCATGGCTATGTAGGTTTTATTTATACAAGAAAAATTTAATTTAAAATAATCGAAAGTATCTATTTTACATTTCAACAATGCTCTCACCTTATAATATGGTTTAAGGTCTGATATTGCTGAATCTACTTCCTTTATATCTTTTTTCCCTGGTTTCTTTTAAGTTCCTGACCTTTTGTTCTTTCAAATGAACTTTGTTAGTATTTTTTCTAACTTAGGAAAATAATTTTGGTAGTTTAATTGGGATGACATAGAATGAAATAGATTCATTAGGTAAAATTATCATTTTAAAAATTTTATCGGCTTTACCTGCCCATGAACGATAAATATTACTTCAGTTATTTAGATCTGAGTTTATTTGTATAAAAAGCATTTTATGTTTATGTTCATATAGTTCCTGTGTCTGTTTTGGCAGGCATATGCCCAGGTATGTTGTAATCTAATTATTTTAAATGGTCTAAAACAATATTGAATAATATTGCTGACACACCATGTAGTTTCTCTATTTTTCTCTTTTGATTCAATCTATTTTAACTTTAACTTTATGTGAGATCATGATTACTACCCCTGATATCTTATATGATAAATTCTACTCCTACTCTTTATTTTATCTTTGTATGTATCTCTCTTTTTTATGATGTTTCCTGAAAGCAACATACTGTTGACTTCAAATTTTTAATCTGCTATCCATTTCCATTTTGTGGGTAAATTCATCCCATTCACATCCTAAGCTACAATTGCTTGTATATTTTCCTCCTTCCTATTTTTCCTCGATATCCTTCTCACCCTATTTACCCTATATCTCCTCACTCCTCTGCTTTACTTCTATCCACTACCTTGCCCTCCTATTCCTTAACCTACCTACTCCTCTAAGAGTCCTTCCCTCATCCCTATTGTATTCCCGTGCCCTCTCATTTCTTTCTGAATTTAGAAACTATGTATATGTGTGTGTGTGTGTGTGTGTGTGTATATAAAAATTCCCTACTTAACCCATTCCCAATGAGAGTAAGGTTCCAGCACTACCTGCCTTCCCCCCACCCCACTAGCTTCTTCTGTATCAATTTTTCCCTTTTTTGCCTCATTTATA